CTCCACCTTCACTCAGACTCCCTCCACCTGTCCTCTTTACAGGACTCCACCTTCACTCAGACTCCCTCCACCTGTCCTCTTTACAGGACTCCACCCATCACTCACATCCTTGTCACACTATGGAGATTTTATATTTCACTTGAAATAGGTGTGAAATACATTTAAATTTAACATCTAGGTCTGAGGTGAAGTCCCATTTCAGGTAATCCAGGGTCTTGGTCAGGCTGAAAAACAGAGCCCAGTGTCTGTGCATCAGCCTCAGAGGTACCTCCATCTTATTTTCATAAAAACACAATCTTCCACCTCATTATTTCTTTAAAGACTAACTTCCTGTCCTTTCAGTCCCTACTTCAGCATGAATACCGCGATCTGAGACAGATTACACACATGAGCACAATGCGGGGCTGGGCAGGCCAATACTTATGAATATTCATAAGGCAACGACCATTCATGGCAGCGATGGAGAGCTTAAGGGTCCTGCACCTGTTAATGTCTTATGTCGGGTTGCCGCATGCGTCTGTCATGGAAATGCAGTGGAGGGGAGGAGCTTAATCGTGGCTCATTTGCATGCGCGACACCCAGGTGGGGCTGCCGTGCACCGCGTCCGATGGCAGTAATGGCTTCCCGCCTTTTAGAACCAGGGGGAACCTTTGGCGTGAGCGTTCATTTTGTTTTAATGTAACGAGGTGAAAACAAAAGAGCTTTTACCTTTTGTGGTGCAAAGATCAGTTCGCAGACACACAGCTTCATTCCAGCTGGGTCCAGATTCCGGTAAGTGGCTCCCTCTCTGCGGCGACCTGCCTTGGCTTCCATGAAGACAGACCCTCACGACGGCCGAAACACAGCAGTCCGGACATCTTCCTGATGATGTGAGCTGCACAGCACAAAGACACTCTGCTTCCTGTAAATGCTAAATGGTTTTGAAATAGGGGATCAGTATAAAGCGACCTGATAGCGCACAGATGGATACTGTAGCCGGAGTCTGGAGTCGGGACCTTTGGACTTCACTGCAGCTTCCTTAGCTGGGCACTGAGGGATAAACCCAGCCTATTCCACCATCATCCTCCAGCACCATGGTGTGCTGCTATGGGAAGCGGCCTCAGATTTGCAGGATCAGATCTTCTACTTTGGGTCCATGCCAGCCCTTGTTACTACAATGGGAATGCATGGCTGTCCCAATAAAATAAACTATCATAAACGGGTCTGGAGGTGGTGCAGTGGTTCGCACTTTTGTCTCACACCTACAGGACCCGGGTTCGAGTCTCTGCCTTGGCTCCATGTGAGTGGAGTTTGCATGTTCTCCCCGTGTCGTTGTGGGGTTCCCTCTAGTGCCCTGCTTTCCTCCTGCCCTCAAGCCAAAAAGCTGAGGTTGGTTGGAGTTAGCGAATCGCCTATAGGTGTGTCCCTGTGAGTGAATGGTGTGCGAATGTGCCGTGTGATAGGGTTGGTGCCCCATCCTTGGCTGTTTCCTGCCTTGTGCTCTGTGACCCGGAATGTGACACGTGGGTACAGAATAAGGGTAGAAATTAGTCTCAGCCACTCAAGCTTCTCCAGCATGAAGTTAAAAATATCAATTCACTGTTTGTTTTAGTGAAGTGGTATTCTATATAGCAGGTAAACGTATTGGTCAAGGATAAAAAGCATCTGATCACTTTCTGCCAGACTTCAGCTGTTGGTCTTTAGAACCCTTTAAATCCTTAAAATTCCATATGTCTGTCCTTTTTTCTCGGCCAGATTAAAAACCACACAGATGCCTCTGTGTGAATGTATAAAAGCAAGAGCGTCATTCTGAGCTGGACAGGGATCTGCAGCAGGCAGAAGATAAAGAGACCACATGAGCATTATGGGTATAGAAAGAGACTTGTACCTCATGGCGCCTCTGCGGTGGGGGGAGAGGGGGGTCACATAGGCAGCCAAAGCATCCCATTGGTTAGACTTCACCAATCAGAGCTCACTTCTTTTTCGATATATCGATGGCCATTTAATTTACGGATTATCAACCTGGATGGGATGCCAGTCTATCTGAGGTAACTCGCACAAAACGGGCAGTTTAGAGATGCCAGGTCACTTAACCGCACAGGAATCTGGAGGACCTGAAGGAAACCCGCACAACAGGGGGAGAACACGCAAACTCTGCCCTCAGTGGAGGGCCAGGATTTGAACCATCAAACACAGGAGGCTCACTGAGACCTTGTGCCACACTGTGACAAAACAGTGCTATCGTATAATCCCCGAAATATCCATCCCGCCAAGCCCACACTTAGAATCCCCAATGCGACTCAACAATCACACAAAAATGATTAAAACAAAATAAATGAAACAAAAATCCATAAAACGACAAAGGGCATTTATTCTGGTTCATTAAATCGCGGAAAGTGCTGGAAACGGCTGGCATCAAAAGGGCCCGAGTCCCCCGGTTTATGGCGTGAGGCTCTCCTGACGCTTCAGCCTTGACCTCTTTATTGATGGTTCACAGAGATACTGACCAGCCGCAGAGAAATGAATGGGCCCCAGAAGACCCCTTAAACATGATTTAAATGGAGAACCTTGCGTTCAGGCCCATTACATCAACTCACCCGTCACAAAGGGCATTCTTATAAACCGCCTCTGAGTTTGGTTAGGGCCTGTTTTCCTGGCATGTCCAATCGGGACCTGGACATCTTTCACTGGCCCTCTCTTGTTAGTTGATTTAGGGCCCGGGCGGTCACGGGGCGGGCTCTGTAGACAGGGTCGGCTCGGACATCCACTTTTTCTCCGGGGGTCAGGAGGGCATCAATAGGGTGGGAGTGGTTGTGGACACATCATTGTGCTGGGGACTCAAATGGAGATGTAGGGGCGGAGATGGGGGGCTGGCGATTAAAGAGAGCATCACCTCCCTCTGGGGTGGGGGGTGCTTTTGGGCCACATATGCAATTCAGACTCCTGGAGTTGCCTGTCAGCATGTGGGTGAGCGAGGAAGATGGAGGCAGCTGGAACTACAGAAGTGAAGAGAAGGTGTCAGAACAGCTGGACCGATGACTTATAATGGTGGGAAAGGCCTCCACGTTTCCAGCTCTGACTATGTATGTCTTACCAAGGCCCATGCATAAGGGCTCAACATCGCTGGGATTGGTCAACACTACATATTGGGTTTGCTCAATGAAATTATCGTCTGTAGAGTACTGATTGACTTAAACCTTCCTTTTTTGAGATTACGAATTATTTATACTCATTTCTTTCTTACAGGCATGTGAGAGAAGCAAAATAACATTCCTGTAGCTTAAGGTGTTTGTAGGCAAAAGAAATGTAGAAAGTACCAGAAGAAAACAATACCTACAGAATATACCTCAATGATTTCCGTGACAGGTGGATCCAATTCTACCAAGAGTTTACATGACACTGTTGTGAAGAGCAGAGAGACAGGGGAATACAGCATATTGACCCTGTCAATGTCTGTATGGTCACAGGCAGTCAACACAGTACTTTGATCAGCCATGTGGAAGGCGAGGTGCACAAATACTCCGTGGACAGAAATCTGACACAAGTGCGGAACAATCATTGTCACCACAAGAAAGTCGGGACAGACTGTCCACTACCACTGTAGTCAGAATAGCAGACGGGCCAGTCAGGCGAATGGCCAACCAAAAACACGACATACGATCATCGTCGGAAGTCTTCATGCTGTAAGTAAGACAGGAAGTCATGGCGAATATGAGCAGTAAACGCCGATTTCTTGGCAAGAACAAATTGGGAATAGTGACAGACAGTCTCTGGAAGTCGTCCAGCGGAAGGGTGATTTGTTTTGTGGTTCTAGATCAGCTCAACACAAAAGTTGGCTGTGATCCGATATTAAAAGGTAGAGATACCTCACAGTTGTTTTTTCTAAATCACACCATGGACTCTTTTTCATGGGCAATAAATGTGAATATGTACCTTTATACTTGTACCACTAACACTACTGTGTTTATTAACATCCATCTATAATTAAAATTGCTTGTCACTGATTGTTTTTATTAGAAGTGGATGTTTGTTTTTAGTGCTGTTCATTCCCTTACCTGCCCACCCCCATGTTCTCAGAATGACAATAAACCTTCGTGAACTTTGAATTTCAAATGGGTAGAGACCTCTGATGTGTGGAATCCACGTGGTCCTGTGGTTGAGTGCCTTGCCGAAACACTGCCGTGCACTGCTAATGCTAGCTAGAAAAACAATGCGATGCTAACGCTAGGAAAACAATTAGCGGGATACCATCGGGAGGAGAAGACGAGAAGCCGAGCGAGGCCACCACACGTGACATGTGACACCTTCCTCAAGTCCCACCAGCTGAAAGCTGCGCCGTAACAGCTCATGGAGCTGACCGTGTTGGGACCAGCGAGGAAAAAATAGCCAGACACCGACGATGCTGGACAGATCTTTGACTTCCCCCGAATTAGATTTCCCTGAAAAAGCTACGGTCATGTCGTGCTGGATGAGGAAGATCCTCGTCACAAACGCGCTGGGATGCTGAGCCCAAGACAAGCCACAAATCAACCGGGGCTACAATTCCACTGAAAGAAACAACAGTCCCATTATGCAATAATAAGGGTCAACCAAAGTGCTGCTGGCATCAAGATATATACCTGCATGCACACGCCTGAAACTGACTGATCACTTTAAACAAAGTATATTTGTTACACCAGACAGTTAAATTAAGGGAAATTGTTCACTTGCAAGGTATTACAGGTAATGTTTACAATACAGTAATGTGTGTTGTTCCCCAAAAAGGACCAGGAGACTGAATAGGATTTTCTTTGATCATTTTAAAATTTCCAGCAGATTTTAAATGTAACTCACTTAAATCAATAGCTTAGTCAAAATAGCTCATTTTCAGCGTTGTACGAGGGTTTATGCAGTCCTTTATTTTGTTAATAAAGTGATATTATGCCACGTGTTTGGCCAGCCAATCACACTCTTCCCCAGGCCCTTAATGGGGGTGCCCGGTTGCACTTGAGTAAAATACATGGCACACAGGACAAAACTCAGCAAGTGGACTTTCACCCCCCCCCCCCGAGCACCGACCCCCCCCAGGGGTGCACCCGCACACAGCCAACCGCCTGCCGTAGCCTCCGGCTGTGTTGTGTCAGCTGCGGGCAAACGGCACTCACCCCCTGCGGTGGGGCTACCCGCCTCTGTGTGGCCAGTGTGTTGACAGAGTGGCGGCCCGGCGAGCGGTGCCCAGCAAACATCATCTCTGCCGGGGCGACCGGCACACGGGCGACATGAGAGTGTCACCCGGCTAAAACGTAAGGGACAGATATAACCAGAGCACAGGAACAAGTGCCGCTCTATTTCTCTTTATTTATATAAAATTAATCACCGGGTCGTAACGTCCACCTGACCCTCCTGTCTCCTCCCTCACGTGCCCCTGATTAGCCGCACCTGATACTTATTGTCTTTCCTTAGTTTGTTTGTTTAAGTCCCAGCCCGGTCATTAATGTCCCTTCTCCTGTCAGCCCATTTTGTTCCCATTTTTAATTCCCAGCCCGGTCATTAATGTCCCTCCTCTTGTCAGCCCATTTTGTTCCCGTTTTTAATTCCCAGCCCAGTCATTAATGTCCCTCCTCCTGTCAGCCCATTTTGTTCCCGTTTTTAATTCCCAGCCCAGTCATTAATGTCCCTCCTCCTGTCAGCCCATTTTGTTCCCGTTTTTAAGTCCCAGCCCGGTCAAGGTTAAGGTTAGGGCTGGGTAGGGGTTAAGGTTGCCATAGCAGGTATTAGGGTTTTTCCCCAAAGCAATGCATGGAGGGTCCCCACAAAGATATGAATATATGTGTGTATGTGAGTGTGTGTCTCTACCTGTTCTGCACTCAAGCTTAGACTCCACACTGGATATTGCATCACAGTCCTGCCTGATTT